ACTAGCGCACCAGTGGTGGTGGGAGCCTCTCATGCCTCTGCGACAGTGCTAGGGCCCAAGGCGGCATTCGGACATCCCCTGAGGTTTCCCAGACTGTGAGAGGGTGCAGTCTGGGCTGAGGGACCCCCTCCTCAGTGCACGAATATCGCGCTCTGGGCCTCTAGTTTTTAATAAAGTAATATTTTAGAAGTCTTAGCTATCAAAAGTAGGGTATAGCAAATTAAATATGATAACGTCCACAACTATTATATCCCTTTAAAAAATGTTTTGTAAGTATAGCTAATGACATTAAAGTGTTCACAGTATAAGCAAAAGTAATACAAGAGAACTACATAAACAGTATCATTATTCTTAAGTAAATACAGATGTATTTTTTCTTTTTTCTTATGATATTATTTGCTACACATATATACAGGGTGTCCCCCAAAATGTATACACACTTTGAATAATTATAACGGCAGTGTTTATTAAAATACATTTCATTTTCAAAATGTAACAAAAATCAGCTGTTAAAGTATTAATACAGTGCTGTGGCTGACCAGCAGACCCCGAGTGACAGATGAACAGATTGATCTGACACAAGTTTCTGTGAAAGAGAGGCTAAGGGACTATTTTACTTTAGAAGTAAAAGCAGTCTCATTTGCCTGCCTTGCCGGGGTCCAGCCCCAGCGATCCAGGGGTTCCCAAAGGTGTGGATGGAGTCGGCGATGAATGAAGGACACGGAGACAGCGTTCAGATGATCAGCATAGCCAGGTTCTCTCTTTATTCTCCTGTTACATCTGTATTTATACCATTTGATCCTATAAGCATGCCTCTATAGTCACATCATGGAATGTTTTGGGTCCTCCCTTGACCTTCTACAGTTCCTTGTTTCATGTCCATAGTTTCTTATCTGACCTTTGCCAAAAATCTTATCTCTATCTAGCTCTGTTGATTTTAATCCTATCCATTCTATTGCAAAGGTTGGGGCTAGTTTGTTATCTCCATTCCAAGGTCACTACTCTACTGCTCTACTATTAAGCTACAAGGAAGTAACTGAAGGAGATTATCCCAAGTAAAGGTTATGTCCTTTTAGCCTTGCTGATGGTCTTCCTTGGGACTGCCCTGCATCGGCGGGTTTTCAGGGGCATAGGCTTTGGTGTTTTCTCTGGTGGGTAGACCCCTGGGGATGTGGGGTAATAACAGTTTGAACTAAAATTAACCTCTAGATACAATCAGTAGGGTAAGTATCCTTGAGAAAGTAAGCTTCTACAAGGTCAGGTCTTTAAAGAGTAAACATAGAGATTCTAGCAAAGCACTCTGGGAGATCAGACTTCTTTGGAAAAGTCAAGGTAGGGGCTGTCACCTTTGGCAAGGTCCCCTCAAAGGCCCCCAACCTTTCGGAGAATCCTTTTTACAGACATTCCAACCAAGTCCCGTGCTTCCCCACATCTCCCCCCTTTTTGTTTTGCTGGCTACAGAAGACAGAGGGAGGTGGTGAACTTTCTGCTTTGGAAGGTTGGGGTCTGCGAAGCATGTTCACTGCTCGAGTTCTGATTTTGTAGACTACCTATATATATAAAAGGCTAATATGCAAAGTGTCCCCTTGGGAGTCCAACCGGGAGTTCAATCACTCGCTATTACGTACACTGACCACCAGGGGCAGCGTGGAATGAAGAAAGGCCCATGCCAAGACCGGCTTGGCTCAGTGGATAGAGCGTCAGCCTGCGGACTGAAAGGTCCCGGGTTCGATTCCGGTCAAGGGCATGTACCTTGGTTGCGGGCACATCCCCAGTAGGAGATGTGCAGGAGGCAGCTGATCAATGTTTCTCACTCATCGATGTTTCTAACTCTCTATCTCTCTCCCTTCCTCTCTGTAAAAAATCAATAAAATATATTTAAAAAAAAAAAAAGAAAGAAAGGCCCTGATTGGCCCTAATCACCAGGCCTAGGGACCCTACCCATGCACGAATTTCATGCACCAGGCCTCTAGTAAGAAAAATAAAGAGAATTACAATGACAGTTAATGGTTAGTCTGATCAGGTACCAATTGATTTTAGGAAACCATGTGGTGGGGTCTAGCCATTCTAATTGCTCCTTTACCATATTCTAAGCAATGGTCTGTTTTCCATGTTTATTGATAGCAAATAAGAATTCTTTAATTTGCCTTTGCAACATGTTTACTTTTTCAGTAAGATTATTATGAAAGACTTCCCATACATGCTTTTTAACATCAATCCAATGATGGTGACTACTGTTCCATTTCAAAGGTGTGACACATATGTGCTTATGCTCCCAATCACAATTAAGCACTTGCCTGTATGCTATAGTGTCCTGTCTTTTCCCTAGATATTCAATGGCTACCTCTATTGCCTGTAGTCTAGCTAATATTTTTTGACCTATATATGCTGTTGTATAGTGAATTCCCTATATATCATAGGCCATATGGTCTACAAAGGTGGCCATCTGCATAGACTCAGAAAGGGCCATCGCAGTGATGCTGGCAGTTATAAGAATAACAACAGCCAAAATAATGGCTGCAATGACCATTCCCAAAAATCTTTTGGGCCAAAATTGACTCAATGCTCTTTCTAAGACTTCGATAGCTGATGAGCCTTGTCATTTCCTGGTGAGATTAACAGGTATCAGGATTTCTGCTTGTCTTCTAAGTCCATAATAGTGCTGATGTTCAATGAAGTAATATTCAGAGTGGTAATACAGGATGTAAAATAAGCTTCCTTTTTAACCTGTATTAGAAAAGATGAACTATGGTTTATTAGTAGATCGGGGCCCATAACAAAGACATAGGGGTAGGTGGTGCAAATCAGGCTACTGTCAGTATGATTATTAATAAAAGTTATACTATACTGGCCAGAGAGTTCTGGTAGTCACTCTGCCATGCCATGATAGAGTTCAATCCGATGAGCTGGAATCCACAGCAGCCCTGTGGGGGTAGAAACACACGTATATCCTCTCCCCCATGTTAATATTTCATTGGGTCCTTGAGTCCCATCTTCCCCCTTTTTTGTTTTACTAGTATGTTTTTTAATGTTGAATGGGCATACTCAATAATGGCCTGCCCCTGTGGATTGTAAGGGATTCCTGTGGAATGCTGGATGGACTAAGTCCTGTAAAAGGTGGCAAAGGCATGGCTGCTATAAGCAGGCCTATTGTTAGTTTTTTCTTGGTTAATACAGCTCTAATTGGAAATAGGTCTTACTGAATTTAAAGAAATGTATTGCTACTTATTAAAAATTGCTAAATTTTGGAGGGACAGGTAGGGAGAGAAATATGTAATTTACTAAATTGCTTTAAAAATGCTTTCTTATATCTGAAAAACAAAAAGTTAGCAATACTTTCAACAAAAGATACAAAAACATATAATTATTTTTTATTTATTCAGCTTTATAATAAAATTATTTCTTTTGATTTTTCTTGCTAGTATTTCTATAGATCTAGGTACTTTATAGAATAATGTAAATGACAGAATTTTGTTCTTTTTGCAAAATATAATATTCTATATTATAATTTATAACAATTAGTTATAAATGAAAGCATATTATAGTTATTCTTTATTTGACAAAAATTCCCATGTATCTTAAACAGAAAATTATCCTTCATGAGAAAAAAACAAATCCTTGAGGCATTCCAGGGTATATTGGAATGATCTAAAGCCAAGTCTAGGTCAAGAAAAAGTTTTTTAAAATTCAAACCCTGGGAAGGTTATCTAACTTATTTTACCAAAAGATATTAAACAAAAACATAGGCTAGCAACCTTCATTTTCCATGATTAAGAAGATGGCTTAAAATAAAATAATCAAGTGCCTAATCAATATAACATATAACCATTTCAATTACTTATAGAACTTTTGCTTCATGGGCAAAAACAGGAAAGACCTTTTTCCTTTTAATAGACTAGAAAAAGACTAACCAAAATGAGGTTTATTCTCTAACTTCATTTGTCCTTAGGTGAGATCAGCAAATGACATTAATT